TAGACAGAGATTATTCTGTTTGCCATGAATCTTATCTAAACAGAGTCTTTTCTAAGCTTCCCAGATAAGTTTCTACACCATGATCATTCTCTGCAAGCACTGCTCCCCTTCTCCCAGTCTTTTTCCTCCTCTTTTCAACATGCACCTGCCTAGAAGGATTGTGAAGCAAAATTCCCCAAATCTACCAGTACTGCTCATCAAAATATTGTGTTTCCAGGTGTGGGGAGAAACCCCTCTTCTTCTCCATGACTGTATTTTTTCATATTGCATTTATTAAGATTTTGGTATGACTTGTATTTTCTTGATTTTTTTTTTCCCCCTCGATGATGATGGTGATGATCATATGCAGGGTTTGTAATGGGGAAGATGGGGTGTTTGATGCTTATAATTTCTGTAGTGCTGGTACTAACCAAATACCACAGCACAACCAAACAGCCCGGTGCTATTCACCCTCTTGAGAAAGAGGTGGCAGTTTTTAGGCAACAGGGGCCATCTGTGGCTCCTGCAGGAGATTCCTGCTCCTGTCACCAAAGACAACTCATGTGCAGGGCTTAGCTTTATTTTGGGAGAATCTGCCCCATTTAGGGCACATTTCACCGTGCTGGAAGGTGGAAGTTTTGGTTTTCTGCTGTTTGCTGGATGCCTCGGTGTGCACCAGACATCTGCCCTACCTGGTGCCTCAAGAAACAAATCAGAAGTAGGGGCTGTCTGCTTCGTGTTTTACCCAGCAGACCAAAAGCAAAGCATGAAAATCAGAAATTCTTCTCTGGCCTCCAAGTAGAGAGGGAAGAAATGATCATTTTTTATGATTTACATAATGTTTTGGGTTGTTTTTAAACTGGATTTGATTGGAAATGTTGAGGACCCATTGTTTTTTGTCTGATACGGTTGCTGTGTGTTGGCAGATTTTAATCTGTTCCAGTGGTTTGCTGGCTGGACAGGCATTGCGTGTTCTGTCTGCATTTTAGTGGCACTGCCAGGGGACATCAGGCCTTTTGCCCTTGTCTCTGTGCACTCAGAAATTAAATGTAGCCTTAACCTTAGCACAGTTTGGGGGGCAGTTACTACAACCTCGCCATAGCAAATTTTTTTAGTAAGATTGTGACATCTGTGCTGGCAAAAGAAAACCCACCCAGCAACAACAAAAAAACCCTGCTAAATCATTTGTGGTTTAATCATTGTCACAATTTAACCACAAAATACCCTAAGTAGCGGCCAAAAAAATCCTGTAAGGCCTTTTCCGATCGCTCTCCGACCGAAGTGGCTAAATACCAAGCAGTAATTCTAAATTACTTCTGTTTGCCTTTTCTACTTAATGTTCTAGAATAGTTTCTAGTAAACCATAGAAAATAATCACTTGAATGAAAGCACCTCCGAGGTAACAGCAACTTAGGCACACCTATAATGTGATATTTGAAAACGATTGCTCTATTTAATTCTCCTGTTTGCACAGTTACAGCTTGTTCCTTCACAAGTAGGGACTGCATTTAATTCCTCATTTCACTACAAGCATTCCTTTCACTTTTTCTGAAGCAAAACTTTGCACTATCGATAGCATGACCAAAGGGACAATGTTCTTATATGAGATCCCTGAGTTCTTTAAACTTATTGTGTTATCTGATTTTTCGTTTTTTTTTTTTTCTAATGGAAAATTAGGAAATATTTTCAAGTAAATAAAACAATACTCTGCTTTTTTTAAAAATCCTTGATTTACCAGTCACAATGGTATCTAAGAATACCTGGTAACACTGAGTTTGGTGGAAAATGAAATAAAACTAGTCCTCGTGGTAGACTGAATGTATTAATTTCTCCAGCTTTGAGCACAGTGCACCCCGCTTTCCTGTAAAGCTCTGCTATACACTTGGCAAGGAAGCAATGGCTGAAAGATGCCCGGCCACTATGGTGTTATATTGCTGAGTTATTCAGTGCCTTGTGCCATTCCCTTTTCAGGTGGAGGTCCTTGCCGTGTGCTTGGTTTTGCTCGAGGGCTCTCGGGTCCTGGTGCTGTGGGTGCTGCTGCCCCGGGGCCTTTCCTGCTGCCGAGGGGCCGGGAACGCGCGGCGCCGCTCTCTCCCTGGCAGGGCCGGCCCCAAGCAGACACCTCGTCAGCAGATTCCCCAGCCCAGCCTCCTCCTGCTGTAAGCTTCCAAAGTCCAAGGACCGTCCAGTCCTAAACCTCACGTCCGTAGGGTATGACTGCTTTAGGAATTGGCTGGAAGATAATGATGGAACTACGCAAAAAAAGCATGTCTGCAGCCATGCTTACTGCTCCCTAGCCAAAAAATGATAGTCCCAAATAATAAATCGGTGTGGGGTTTTAGCGCGTGGCTGGTGGTGTGAGGCTCACTCAGATCAGTATTGCAAAACTGTCAGTGGTTGCAGGAACACACACAGCTGGGGTCAGATCCACCTGTGTAGAAGTTTTATGGGTTATTTTCTTTAGTTATATTTAGTTGTTTTGTCTTACTCTAAAACTGATAATATGGTGCTGGGCTCGTGCTGTGTGAGCTTGCAGGAGATGACAGCATCTCCAAGCAGGGGCTAGTCCAAGGGACCAAGTGCCTGAGCGCCAGGCAGCCCTCAAGGAGAAAGAGCCTGTTGTGGAAGATGCTGGTTGTTCATTTTTGGCTGGTTGGGTGGTTTTCTTCATGTCTGAAATGTGTTGTCTCCTTGGATGGGATGTTCCTTGGCTGTGAGCAAGAGAACATCTTTATTATCATTCTCTGTGTTTGAACATACTGAAATTGTTCACACGTACATTCACACAGGCATGTGATCTGAATGCAGATGTGGCTGTGCTGCAGCGCAGAGATCCTCACTTCAGATCCTCTGGCACATCCAGCTTGTTGAATCACATACTGTATGAGAACAGATTATCCAAAATATGCTGTTCACAGCTTTCCTAGGAAAGTTGGCTGTCATATTTATTTTTTCCTCCCTTATGTGATCCTCATAAGTACTGAGAGTGGTGTATATCTATATGAAAAACAGACCAGCAGAGTTGGAGGACTTTTGTACCCCCTGCAAACATACTAGTTTATTTAAAATATGGTTAAATACAGATATCCTAACCCCAGTCTCTTAGAGAGCTAAGGTTGTACAGGTTTTAGTATTATATTCTTTGCATCTCTTACAAAAATTTGCATTGTTTTTAGCATAGTATAGCTAAAAAAATCTCAGTTTGATAAAAGCAATTGTATTTCTTTAAAAGGAGCCTGTAGGTTTGGATTAGGACAAATAATACCAGTGGAGATGCAAGGGGAAGCATTACTTCAAGCAGCAATTTAAGTGCATTTTAAGTTCATGCAGAGCATCCGGGGCTCTGGGTGTGTTTTTTCTCCTCACAACAGGATTCTGACCGTGGTGCTTATATCAGAAGTGCATGTAATTTCAGGTAGTTGACCACAATCTATTATTATATATGATTTTGCAGAAATGGTAATATTTAGTTAAGAAATTCTGAAGGAGATCTCAAAAGAATATCTCATTTTCCCAGAAAAATTACTAGAGGCTTTTAGAGCAGTTTCAGTTGATGGTGAAGTGTAACAGCTGAAGCAGGAGTTGCATACAGAAATTCTCTTTTCCTATGACTGCAGAATAAACAGGAAAATTATTGTGATTCTGTCATACTTACAGTTTGCTATCAGTAGTATCAGTGCAATAGACTATAATGACTTGAAATTATCATGTAATAGAAGGGAATCTGCTGTGAAGTAGCCACAAAATAATGCCAGATGAATCTAGAGTAGTGAAAATTGCAATTCAATCAATGAAAATTGCAATGCAATCAATGCTCAAAAAAAAAACAATAAAAAGTTGTAATTAAGTTAATATTAAGAAAGGCAATGGGATGTGAGCTCTCTCTGCTCAACTGGCCTGTGGAGCTGTTCAAGGGTAGCACCAGGCTGCACTTGTGTCTGCCTGGGCAGGGGGCTCTATTCAACAGCCACTTGTCCTTCACTCTGTTTCTGACCTTTATATCGGGGCCACGTCACACAATGGGATTTTATTTAAGCTCCCCCCTGGGATCATTGTGTTTCAGCCTTTGACACCTCAGTACCTTTAGCAGAAAGTGCTAACGTACTTATGAAATGATGTTAACGTTCACAAAATGCTACAGCTGTGTGTTTAACCAACGTGAAACAAATGGAATTTGTTGGGAGTTTGGCCCTAAAATTGCTGGGTTCAAGGTTTATTTATTTATTTCTAATTTAATCAGGCCAAAACTGAACAAGGAAAATATTCTTTTACTGTACCTTAGCCCTAGTTGTCTTGACTGTGCAACCACTCTGTTGATGATGACTCAAGGCCATGGTGAACTAATTAAGACAGTTCTGTGTTACTAACAAAAGGGCTGCTTTCCTCCTCCCTCCTCCCCCAAGCAGTTTGTCAAGTAAAATTGTATCCTATACCAAAATAATAGAAATCTAATGTATCCTGGCATTCTGTCTCTAGTCAACCAGCAGTATTTTGTAATGCTGCTTTAGTACGTGTATTAGAGGACTTGTGTTATACACAGCCCATTAACACAAGGGAATCATTAATGTGTCTTTGCCAGAAAGATGCGAGCTTTAAATCTTCTACGTCCATAGAAAAATATTAGCCATCTCCAATCTCATAAATGGGCATAGTCACTATTAAAAGAATGATAGATATAGTAAAATCTCATGCTCTGCATTCAAAATAACTGCATTTTACCAGTTGATATTATTTTGGAAAACTCACTGATACATCTGCACAGAGATGCTCAGATGCAGGTTCTTAAACCTTTTTTTGTGTGTGTTCAACCCCAGGTTGTGGGATGCTGTTGCTCCTTTTTTGTGTTTTTCTGTGCTTTGCATGTGTGTCAAGATAACTTGTGCTGTTTAGAGTATTTCTGCACTAATGTGGTTGCTCTTCTTGAGTAAATGAAGGGCACGTGTGTTGCGTGTGTTTCTCGAAAGTTGCCTTTAAAAACTTGCAGCAATAGTTAACCGAGCTGCTTGTTTCTTCTCTCCAAGGGGTCGCCTGGCCTGATATGCACCGTCTGGCTGACAGGGTCCATCTGGAGGAGCTGACGAAAATTGGCATTCTGCAAGGCAATGTGGATGACATGGTGAAGGTTCATCTGGGGGCAATATTTATGCCACACGGACTTGGACACCTCCTTGGAATTGACGTGCACGACGTTGGAGGCTACCCAGAGGTTAGTCAGCCCGTTCGCGCTCGCCTTGCAGATTAACCCTCCGGAGCCGCTCAGCGTCTCTCTGATCCAGCGGCTGCTTCTTCCCTGAGGTGGGGAAGAAGCACCACAGTGTGGTTCTCTTTCTGGGGGTGGTATTTTAGGCAGTATCTCCCCTTAAAGTTGGGAACTGTTATTTCATTGAAACATAGATTACCTGTGGGGGAGAACGCCACTGATGCTGCTCTTCAGCCTTCTTGGGCTGTTGAACATCCATACAACCGTGGGAGGTACCTGGAGGTGTCAGTGCTCTGCCCTGACCCAGGGGGAGCACGTTCCCCTTCCAGATGTGGCACAGCTGGCAGAGCCCAACTGCACTTTGCCTGGGACCGTGATGGTCGGGGTCTGCAACACCCGGCGTGTCCAGGCCTCACTGTCCAACCTTCCATCTCCATTGCCGGTGTGGACATTGGTACAGGTGGATTGTCCCAGAGTGCAAATAGGAAGGAAAAGGCTGTTAAGTTGTCTGCTCTTTGCCTACAGAAGAGCATAATTTCTGGTGTTCTGGGTTTCTGTGGAGAGCACAGAGTGATTATCTTTTTCCTTGAACATGATGGTTCATGCGTGTGGTCTGAAAGCAGAATGGGTATAATTCAGTACCCAGTGGTAAGATGTTTGCCATGATATTAAATTATGTGCAAGGGGAGCTGAACTTAAGCTTTGAATAAAGAAATGAAGTTTGCAGCAGTTTCAGAAGGATTTTCATTATGTTGTATTTTAGTTCTTTGAGGCTGACAGTTGAAGGGGTTTTCATAGTAAAATATGAAAATGGATTTGTGCCCTCCTTTCTTTTTGTTATGTAAGAGAGTTCTCCTATCTGAAAAAAATAAACCAAGAGTTTATAAAGTTTAGTTTGAGAGCAGTTAGCTTGTTTCTTTTGGGTGAAGGCTACATAACAGCTCATGTTTCTGATTTGTCTTTTGCACAGCAGAAGGAAAAAGTATTGGTCTTTGATAGCTGTATTTTTAATTATTTCAGTATAATTGTCGTTGACACACAATATCGTGATGACAATATATTGGCATTGGCTATTAAACTTACATGTAGTGGAAATGAAACAAAAATCAAAAGCAACCCCGTGCTGGATTCAAAGCTTCCTCGCTAGCCAGGAGAGAAATGGTGGTGGTGGTTGTCCTCTCTCCTTCTCCCAAGGGAATTCTCCCTGTGTGAAAATACTGGCATTCAGCAAAGCACAAGGCACCTGGGAGACCTCAGGAGTCTCCAGTGCAGGAGCCCGGCACTGTGTGCTTTTGTGCAGGCTGTTTTTAAGCTTATATTTGTGAATAATGTCGTTGAGTTGGGTGGAGTTTCTTCTGCTTGAGCTCATGTTCAAGCCTTGGTTAGACTGAGAGTGAACTAAATTTTAGGAACAAGAAAAGAAAATTATATGGATGTGAAAAAGTATAATTTTTGCTTTATGTATTGACACTATATTTTGAAAGTCAGAGGAAGCACCTTAACCACAGAGGAAATTCCAGGAGTGATTTTTTGGGAGAACAAACATCAGGCCCCATGCACCTTGCCTCTGTGGAGGGTTTCTGTAGCATGGCATGCTGGCTACGGGATCTGATTTTGAGACAGATTTTTAGCTATTTATGACCAAACTTACAACTAATAATTACCCAATGTATTATATAATTTAAGGACTTTTTTTTTTAAGGAATTTTACCTGTGTGCCATTTTGGACATGCAACCTGTTATAGATGAATGTAAGATCTGGGGCTTTGTTGGGGCTCCACTTTGATGTTTAAGGTGTATAAAGTCACGGTGCTCGGTGCTCACAGAGCTCCCTGCTCCCGGATCCTGGAATTGGCAGCGGTGTGGGCAGGAGCCCGGCGGGAGCACGGGCCGGCCTCTTGGTCCACGTTCCAGCGCTTCCCGGAAAGGCGGATTTTGGAGACATCTGGTAGACTCTGGCATGATTTTGGTGTGTTTTAAACGTTCACCAGTGAGCAGAGTTTTTACAAGGGACATTATAAAGCTGTTTGTGTGTTTATTGTGCAGCCCATGCCTGTAGTATCATGCTCCTTTTTTTTATAACTGGTTAAGAAGCGAGTTATTTGCTTTTGGCTGAGGGAATTTCTGGGAGTATTACAAAGGATTTTTTAAAAATAAAAACTTTCCAAGTGGATATTATTCCATTATTTTTTCCTCAAGTGTAAACAGTTACATTTGGAATAGTACAATAAGTTTTAATTTCCTAATTTTTACCCGTCACAAAGTTTTGCATGTTCCAGAAAAACTATTTCCAGACATTGTTAGCTTAGATTAGTTATTCATTAGTAGCCAAAATTTTGTTTTTTTTCAAAATTGGCAATAATAAGTTTTCATCTTTTCCAGTAAGCAGCTTTCACATGCAGTGTTGAACAAGCACTTTCTTCCTCTTTGACAAACACTGTAAAAAGTTTGCCCATTTTCTGTAAGGGGTGCTCTTGGATATTAAAAAATACAACATTTCATTTCCTATATTGCCATAGTAAAGGATAACCAGTTTTAGCCATCAAATGTGGCCTCATGACTACTTTAGGGCAAGGTTTCTAAAAGAACATAGCCTCCAACATTTCTCCTTTAAGCACCTAAGTCAATGTCCTAATTTTCCAACGTAATCAGCAGTCAAGAGCTCCGGGGAGAATCTGGCCTCGTGTAGGGTACCATGTTATTCCTAGTGGGAAGCTGAGCATTGAACACGTCTTTGAAAATCTGGCTGCTTCTTTTAAGGATCTAGCTAAAACTTGAGCAGTTCTGAAAATCCAGCCCCAGTGGTACTAATCACTTCAGCAAATCTGGCCCTGAGACAGAAAGAGGCAGCTTCAAAGGGTGAAAACTCCACTGGGTTTAGCCTCAGCTGTAAAATTTAATCATGGAGATAGTTTTCCCACACTCCTTCATTTGTTTCTGGGTAAATTCGATGTGGGATATAAATGAGCATTTGTGCCTGCTGCAATGGAGAAAGTGTGGTAGGTAATCCCAGCTTTTCAGACCCTGAGGTAGATGGGGCTGAAGTTTTCGTTTAAATCTAGGTTCCTTGTCTCTAGATGCTCGAGTTGATTCAGTTTCATGTTATATTAATTGACTATAAGGCTCTGAAGAATGCTAAGTACATTTTATGACTTTCTATAATAATAAGCCAGCTAATTTAAGTTGGGTTAATAACTACTGTCATTTAACATCTTGTGAATTAAGAGTTCCATTTTGTTTTGTTCTCAAAAATTTATGTTTTACCCAAGTTTATGATTGTAATTCATTTCTCTACTCTCATGAAAAGCTGATCCTTTCATTGCTATTCACCATCAGCAAATTAAGGTTTGAGGCTTGTTTTGATCCTGGAGTATCCGTGTCCTTCCATGACTGTGCATGCTTGGGGAGCACCTTCCCGTTCAGAGATGTGCCCGGCTCTTGCAGAAAGTCACTAAACCTAATTGAGACTGCAGGAATAATCTTGTTCCCTTTTTTGCTCGGGCAAAAATCATTTTCCTCATGTATCCTACTACTATTATGGTGAAACTTTTTTTTTTTCTTTTGTGGCTAGCTTTGCAAATGATGCTTTAATATTTTTTTTCTATTAAGAAGCAGAGGATGAGGTGAATTTATTAAGGAGCCTAAAGCTTCTACACGGAGTGCAAGTGATGCAAATTGCTTCACTTGGCTGTAACCTTGCAAAGCCAAAGCCTTGCTGAGGCCTCGTGCAGCCAGGACCTGCAGACACGGAACAGCTGGTGCAGCCGGCACCCGCGTGAGCACGGAGGGAAAGGGCCTTTCACCAGCTTTGCATTTAGGATTGGTTTTTATTTGTTTGCTTGTTTTGTTTGGTTTTCTTGTAATCAGCTGTACAGCTGGAGAAAAGATGAGGAGAAACCTGCTGCTTTGAGCTGAGCAGTTCACTGGAGGGGCAGTGATGAGAGCAGAGCTTTTCTGCTGCTGGGCTTGGGTTTCCTTCCTTTGGGTTGTTTTTTTTGAGGGAGATGCCCTTTGCCATCGCAGATGGCAGGCGAGCCTTCCTCATCATCGCAAGGAAACTGCCTTTCAGCCTCAACCTGGTTCCGCCATTCATACCCAGGAAAAGAGTGAAAACAATTACAATAAAAATAGCCAGTTAAGAGGCGTGTGCCCCCCGCTGCTCTGATATTAACTGCGAGCTGCAGCTGGTGCTGGAGCCCGGCGCGGAGGCGGGAGGCTCAGCTCAGCTCAGCTCAGCTCGGGCGCCTGGCGAAGCCACCGCGCTCAGCACGAATCCTCGTGGATCCGCAGCCTTGCGGAGACAGGGCTAGGGGAACCTGAGGCTTTCACTTCATTAGCTGCACAGGGCTCCTTTCTTCCTACGGTGAATGAGCTAATTAGAAGTTGGGTAGACGCAGTGGGAGAACAGGGGAGAATGGAAGAAATGAGATTTTATTTTAGTATTGATTTTCAGATTATCTAAGTATAATGTTAGTATTCTAATTTAAGCACTTGATTTGAAATTAGCTTGATAAAAGAGTTAGGGCTGCACCGTGTTGGAAGGGTTCTAGATGGGACAGTCCATTCCTGAGGCTCCAAAGAGACCTGTGATGAGGATGAGGAAGGTGGAGAAAGTTCCCCGGAGCAGTCAGTGCGGGTCCCGGTGCACGGAGTTGGAGGTGGTCTCAGCGCTTTGTCTGTGTGGGACATGCTGGATGCTGCAGCCCCATGTTTGGGGCGAAGTGTCACAGTGCCCCTGCACTCACCCAGCCCATCCTAGGGAACGGTCCCACCTGGGAATGGGAATGGGAGCGGGAGCCCTGCTGGGATGCGGGGATCCCTCCTGCCGCTTGGCCAGTGTGGGGATGGGGCAGCTTTGTGTTTTCCACAGCCACTTTACTAGGGGAGAGGCACACTTGTATACTTCCTGATTCCCTGCTTAGTCCAAAAATAGATCTGTATTTTATATTGCTGCCCCCTTAACTCAATTTGAACTTTTATTTTGCTTACATAGTAATGAAATCAGTTTACATAATAATTCTCTTGTTCCCTTGACAGTCCTTATTGCCTAGACATGCTGTTTTGTGTTACCTTACATGAACCATTAATTGGAGGCTGATGTTCTTGGCAGCAGTACAGTCACAAATGACAGTGTCGTACATCTGGGCTTCCTGCACGAGCGGCTCGGCTTGAACATGGGAGCAGAACCTCCAAATCTAACCAGGCGTAGAAAACCCTTTTGCATACAGGTTGCTGCTGCAATATACAGGAAAACAAGCAGCTCCTTGAACAGTAATTCCTCCAAAATATCACTGGGAGTCTCTTAGTAGGTGTCCAGGTGATAATGCTTTCTAGATTACTCTTTTCTGAGGCAAAGCTCCAGCTTATGTTTGTATGCCACTGAGTGCAAGAGGGTCCCCATCCGTGGCCAGACCTCCAGGATATGACAATTATAGCCATGAACTGCTGCTCCAGTGTGCAAATTTTTACTGTTTATCTAACTACAGAGCAGTGTGGCAGCTGTTGCTGGAGTCGAGGCCTTGCTCCTAGGGCCGTTGCCTCCCTGCAAAGCAGAGCGTGGCCTCGGCCCGCGCAGGCTGCGCCCTGCCAGCCCCGCCAAGGCAGCGAAACGCAGAGCTCTGTTACCTTGGTGTCTCTAAACACACCGGTTTGCAGGAAATGCAGCCACTACCATTTCCATAGGGATGTCAGCATCCCTAAAGGCAGAAGCTTGGAGGTGAAACCAGTGTTGAGACAACCTAGAGCCGAGCCAGGCCTGAGGCAGTGTCAGAAACTGCTTGTATCTAAACTGCTTCCAGAGGGATTAAAATCCTAATTTGGGGGGAGGTGGGATATTTGGGTGCCCTGGAGCCCCTGCCCTTCATCTCTGGCTGCAGATGGAGACCAGGCTGTTGAAGGAGGTTTCCAGAGGTGACTCCCCGAGTTCTTCCCCGTGCTGTTGACGAAGCACCGAATCGGACTGCGAGCAGCCCAGGCAAACACGTGTGCGCCCGTTAGGGCCGTACGGAGATGCACGGGGCTTGCTCATCACAGCGGCTGTGAAACGGCGCCGGTTCCAGCACGAGCAAGCAGTGCAGGTCTGGGGCAGCGCTGCCCGCCGCGGCGCCTGCCCGGGCTGCCCCGCTCTGCGCTCGCCCTTCCCGCGTCTGCCGCACCGCAGCCCGGAGCGCGAGCGGGCTTGAAAGCCACGCAGGGGTGGCCTGTTGTAAAGCAGCCGATAGATACTTGGCACCGCACCAGAAAGGTCCAGACACTAATCTAATTGTTTACAGCTCATGGAGAGATTAATCCACAAGATTGGATGCCCTCATTTCCTTTACGCATTACAATGAATGTGGGAGATGCCAAACCCCATGGGGCAGCAGCAAAAAGAAAAATTGCTCCATTTCAGCGCAGTTATTGTTTCAAGTGTAGGAATATATTGATTCCCTTTCATTTTTGATAAGAATATGAATGCAAAGTGCCTTGGTTAATATCAGAGCATTCTTGTTTCTTGCCTTCAGTAAGACAAAATTGTGCTCTCCAGTTTTAGTGTGGTATAAAGAATAATCTTGTAATCCTGTGGAAAAAAAACAGACCAAATGCATGAATAAAATGCATCAAATATACAATGCAGACTGTCAGAGAACAGCTGGTGGATCCCACTGGCCTGCTTTGGGAGGGCACCTAGAGCTGCAAACATCCCAGCTGGTTAACTCCAAAACCCTTGGCTGCCGTGGGGTGTCATGCATGGAGGCAGAAGAAGCTCCCTGGGGGATAACAAAGAAACCAGGATACCTGAGCTAGAGCAAAGCAAGCACTTGCAATCACAAGTGAAGCGCGTTTTCTCCTCCCTGCAGCAAGCTCCGGAGCAAATACTGCCGTGGGCTTGTGCACGCTTTGGGCAGGGAACGATGTGGTGAGAAGTGAAGCACGGCTGAAGCGTGTCCTCCCCCCGGGCCCAGCCACGGTTCTGGGTTTCTGAAAGGAGTCCCTCTCCCGTGGGCAAGGAAAATAACCGTGTCTTTGGGCCCGAGGGCCTCCTGGAGACCAGTGTTTTCGGGAAATGATCTCGATCTTGCCAACCTGCTGGCCTTTCACTCGCTGGCTGCGCGGAAGGGTTTCCGTGCACGCAGCGAAGCGTGTGGACACGCTCACAGCCTGGCGGCCCTGCTCTGTTTACTGGTCATCGTGTTTTGTTGATGAAATTATGCTACAGTTGCAAAGGATTTTCTAAAAGCTAATGGGATTAAGATATATTTATTCAGATGTTGCAATACCTGGCACATTTGGGGGGGAAGAAAATTAATATCCTGAACTAGTCTTTGCAGTGTTTCTAATGCCTTGACTAAACATGTCCTCATATATCATTTTACTTTACCAGCTTTTGGGAAGAAGAGAATGTTTTGCTAGTTGGGACTTGTTTTGACTTAGTTTTTAATAATATCAGTCAGCACCATGTTGCCTGAAAGTCTGAATCTGACAAAAGTTTACTTCTAAATGGGCTGCTTTTATGAGGTCATGTGTAGACTCATTGCTCCTGAATCAAGATCCTAAATGTGCGAGTTTAATAACACGCAGTGAGAATAAACATTTGCATATCTGTGGAGAAGCTGTTCTCCACTGCATAGTTTGGCTGTTTCAGACGTGATGCAGAGGCTGCATTTGAAGACTTGCAGGTCCCTTAGAATATTAGACTGGGGACTTTGAAAGGCAGGCTACAGGGAAAAAAAAAAAAAAAAAAGGAAGAAGAAAGTTGGTGTTTTTTCTGCCTCTCTAAAGAAATGCCTCTTACATGGTAAAGAGTGACAGGACTAAGTATCTCTGTATTTCTACAGTGCAAGAGCAGGTTGGTAGTCATGTTTAAAGGCAGTAATTGCGGTATGTGGAAGCTAAATAAGAGTGATGAGAGGGGGGTCACGGTAGCCCAGCTGTGGCCAGGGGGGTCACAGTAGCCCAGCTGCAGTCAGGTTTGGGTCCTGGGCACCTTGCGGAGCCGTCGGCGCGGGAGGGCTGCGAGGGAGGGCCGGGGTTCCTGCCCTCCTCACCCGTGTGTGTCTTGCAGGGCGTCGAGCGCCTCGAGGCGCCGGGGCTGCGGAGCCTGCGCACGGCGCGGACGCTGCAGGCGGGCATGGTGCTCACCGTGGAGCCGGGCATCTACTTCATCGAGCCGCTGCTGGAGCAGGCCCTGCGCGACCCCGCGCAGTCCTGCTTCATCAACCGCGACGTCCTGCGGCGCTTCAGGGGCTTCGGCGGGGTGAGTAGCCCTCGCCTGCGCGCTCCACTGAAGCGGCTTTGCTGCTGCCGTGTCCTTGCTGCCTGCTTGGGAGGGAATACTTTAAGGTTTGTGAGTGGTGCCCGTAAGCCTGTGTCTGAAATAGCACCTTGGGCCCTTTGACCTGCAAGCAATATGGATTTGGTTGTTTTAAATGCAATTTTAAACGTGGCTTATCTAATTAACGAAAGATACGTGTTTTTCCATTGACTGAAATATCTTCTATCAACAGCGTACTGTTACATGCCGGGTAGTTGTTTTGTCGGTGTGCAAAAGCGTGTTGTGAAATTGGAGCTTGAGACTGGTATTCCAGAGGCAGCTTCCTGGCAGGCGCCCTTGCCTCGTGTTGCTCAGGGCATGGTGGCATTGGAGCACAGCAGGAATGGTTGTTTTGATGGAGTCCTGCCTGGGGGTGCGACGCCCTCCCTGCTTTGCCAAGGCAGGACCCGTGCTCCTTGTGAGGCCTCTGCTCCAGGCACCTCCGGAGAGGAGCCAAGTGGCCGCTTCCCAAGGGCAGCCCGAGCGGTCACTCCCGCTCAGAAACCTGCTGTGTCCGGACAGCAGCCCCGTCCCCCGCATCTTCCCCTTCAAAGCCAGCACCAGAGCCGAGTGCTTGGCAGCCTCCAGCAGCTTTGGGTTTTCCTGGTGCCGGCATCCAGAGGGTGCCGCGATGCTCTCCAGGCTTCCGGATTCACGCGCCAGGGAGATAACGCAGGCGGCTGGGATGCCCCGTCCTTTACCTGGCTCCTCTGCTCACGCCCAACACAGCGAGCTGCTACTGGCAACAGTGGGAACTTTCTGGTAAGAAAAGTCTCTCATCAGGAATTTGATGCTCCCACCAACTAACTCGTTGCTCTGGACCAGCGAGGGCAAGGCCCCCATTGCCAGATCCGCCAGCTCAGTCTTGTCGAGAGACCAGGGACTTTGCCCTCTGCGGGGTTTAATTCAGCACCGAGGCTCGGGCCGTTATCTGTCCTTTTGTTATCAAGGCTGCCAGCCCCGATCCTGGGGAGCAAGCGGAGCAGGAGCCTGCGAGCTCCGTGTTGGGAAGGAGCTGCAGTATCAGGCATTTTTGTTTCAGAGGGTTCCTACCATGTCCAACTTTCCCTTGTGTTTTTTGCTTAGCTTCCTGTAAGGATGACTTGCAAGGAGAGCTGGCCAACAAATTTTGCTGTAAGGGGGAGCTGCCCAAAAAGGATTGAGCAAAAATCCAAATCTCTGATCCCCCTGTGAACAATACATTTTGCTTAGAAGAAAAATAATAATACGTGCACACTCTGAGCCAGATGTTGTCGCTTGATCTTGTCCAGGAAAAGCCTAGAACCTAAGTCTGAAACTGAAGCACATCTGAATTCTACCAAAAAAAAGCTGAGTTACAATGTGACCAAAATGTATTTGACCATCTTCATGGCTTTAACTTCATCCTGGTTAAATAGAAAATGTCATTTGTACTGTTCATAGTGCTTAGCTATCTGCATTCTGGTTCCTTTAAATTTATCTAGATTTGATGATTATATCTCTCAAGGATACTTCAGAAAACTTCCACATGGTTTTAAAAAATCATAGACCAGTATTTCCACTATCACATAATGGCTGTAGAAGTGTTAGTAATGGTATCAGTTCTAGCTGAAGAGCTCACTAATGTCATGTCTAATCTTACTTCATGGGATTTAAGTTTAAAAGAAAAAAACTATTCTAAAAATGGAAATAAATACTCCTTTTCCCTCTGCAGAGCTCAGCACTAATTAAAGTGCTCTTAATTTGCTTTAGTTTAATTCACTTCAAAAATGAATTTAGCTTAACAAGGTAGCACCACCATAGTTCTGAGTAAGACTGTCCCCACAGCAGATTTCAGTGAATTCGCTGATGAATTTCACAGAAATATTTGTGCCAAAAAAAGAGTGTCCGTAGCCATGTATTATAACCTATGCTGCTCCGTGCTAGCTGTGAGGAGGTGGTGAAAGCTGCAAGGGAAGGAAGAACGAGCCAGAACCCAAGGTTTCCTTTGCTGCTGCCCGCTCACTGCTGCCATTCGATGCTATTATACTGTGATACTAGGATCATATGTTTATTAAAAACAATAGGGCTCTCTTTATTCAGGAACAAAAGAGAAACCAAGTAAGAGGCAGAAAATATTTCCGCTTTGCAGCTATGAGGGGATTGTCTCTACCTTTGGCTCGCAGAGCCACACGGTTGTCTTCATTCGTGTTGCATTTTGCGTTAGGCTGAGCTCTGTTTCCAGACCTTGTGGAGAATGAGTGTTGTGAAGTGGTTTACTAGGCAATAAGCATAATAGCGCTCATCTGCTTTCTAACAATTTCATTTTAGACAGCAGTATTAATGCTACTCGAAGCATATTTTGGAAAAGTTCTTACAGAAAAGCAGTTGTCAGGATGAAATGTATAACTTTCTTTGAAGTTGCTGCAAGAGGAGTGATAGTTGCAGGCAACTCCAAAATATCTCTTATTTCTTATAAGCCTCCCTTAGCCATTTCTTCATGAACTGTCTAATAAACATAGTTAGGTTAAACTAAGAGCGGTTATTTCCAGCCTGCGTTTAGCTGGTAGCTCGTTGCTGCTTTCTGAGCTTTCATGAAGGGATTGGGTGTCTCAAGCTGCTGCTTCCAGCCATATCAGTTCATCTAATGGCCTCAGCCTACAAATCTGGATCCTCTTTTATAAATGTTTATATGTGGACCCTGGAAATAAAGTGTGCCTGACATGAGGACTTCCTGCTGGACGAGGAAAGAGGAAAGTGGCAGGATGGGATAAGGGAGAAGGGGCTCCCCGTGCGGCCCAGGCACTGTTGGTGGCTGTGCACAGTGTCTGGTGGGACACAGGACCTGGCAGGTGGCAGCTGCTTCCCGAGTCCTTCAAGCAGATGGACACACATGGGCTCATTTCTGTTGTACCGTGGCACATGTGGACCACATCCTCACATCGTTGCCCCAGCGGGTCTTCTGCTTTCCCAGCCACGCTCAAGAAATGACCAGCGGAGTCGTGTCCCCAGTGGTCTTTTCTGATCACATCTGGGATCTGTCACAACGCTAATCTGGACTGCTTAATTGGACAACGCTGTTTCTCGGCTCTCCAAAGCTTTTTACGTATAAATCATCGTCAGAAAGAAATGAATGAGCACTACAACCCCCATCTCTTGGAAGAGAGCTGAGGCGGCCCTGGGGAGCATGACTGCATCCGTCAGCGAGGACAAAGTGCGAGGCTGGATGCGAGGCGGATGGGAGCGGGGCCGTTTAACCCGGCGCTGTCCCGGGATGTGCCCTGGCCCCGGCCGGGCCGCCGCTCAGCCCTTGTGCAAGCCCCAGTATCCTGAGAGATCCGAACACTGCCCTTGATAAGAGACGGGCAGCGCAGGACAGGGCTGCCCTGCCCGGCCCGGTGCTGCAGGAAAAGCAGAGTCACCCCCAGGGTGTTTGCAGAGACCCCAAAAGCGGCCGGAGGCCTCGCACCCCTCTCCGCTGTTGCCTTCAGCTGCGCCGGCTGCAGCCCCTTTGCGGAGCGCTGGAAGGAGCAGTGCTGAGCACAGCCCGAGAGCAGGGACAGCTCCGAGTGCCAGTTTCGTAAGAGCCGTCCCCGCCGGGGACCGCAGCCCGCGCCAGCGAGCCCTGCCAGGCAGGGCCAGCATCTTTTGTCCATTTGGACAGCGGACAAGAAAGACCAAATGCCTCCTGGAGGGGAGGTTTTCAGGTCCTGAGGAGTCATCTTGTTTGTCGAGTTTGAGCTCAGCGTGAAGCCTAAGGATTGTCCATGAGATGGGCAAAAGCTCTTCCCCTTCCTGGAAAACCTGCCTTCCGTGGCACTCGCTCTGCTGTTCAGCAGAGGCCGCCAGGAGCAGCAAGTCTCTCCCCACATCCCAGCACCGTTCCCGGCACAGCCGGGTTCCCTGCAGGGCTCGGGGAGGCCCCACGGGCCTGCAGCCGCATCCCCTGCCCCGTGGGGAGCTGCTGCCCGCGGCGGCTGCGGGCGCAGGGCGGCCGGGGCAGTCCGGCCAGGCCGGCTCCGTCCCGCTCAGCTCCCGGGCTCCATCCCAAATCAACCTTCGCAGCCCCGTAACTGGTCGGTCCCATCTCACCTCGCTGTCACTGACCCCCCGGCACCAGTGGCTTTTCGGGAGGCTGGGCTTGGCCCTGCGCTCAGACCCATGACACTCTTTGCAGCGCTCCAGCAGCGGTAAATCCCGGGCTTGTTGCTCATTCCAGTGGCCAAATTCAAAGCAGAGGCTCAAAACCCACCTGCCGAAAGCCACTGGAGCGCAGGGACCTGTGCCCCCATGTCCAAATCAAACACGTGAACTCTGAGGGGTTTGTTTAATTCTACTTTATAAAACACTTAACTTGATACCATGTAGAAGAAATAATCTGGCAAAGACATCATTAAACAGTTTAATAAGGACTGGGTGACTCACTTTGTTTGAACAAATGGATTATTTTGCAATCAGACATACAAATGTTAACCAGCTTTATTTTTAGCTGAAAATGTCAAGAGGTCAGAAACAATTAGAGCAACTGTAAGGTGGGAGTCCCTAGAGTTTGTGTTCTCTTGGATTTACACCTTACTAAAATTGCTTTTATTGCAGCTTAGCAACTTAGTAACATTTTTCTGATAAGATAACAGGAAATGACTATGTAGGCACATTTACTAGTAAAGAGAGATTAGAGTCAAACAGAAATGGAACATACTTTTCATTTTAACAGAACGAGAGCTGGCAAAACTGAGAGGATAGGCTTTTCTCTTGCGTGATTGAAAACATAGCGATTGTATTTTAAAATGAATGTCTGACCTGCCTCGCGCTTTCTCATCAGCTCAAAATCTGGCGTTTCGGTTGCCCACCACAAGCTATGTCGTGTCACAGCTCCCACATTGACAGCTAATCGCCTTTAGAGGAAAGGGAATGTGATTTGTAAGTGCAGAGCCTGCAGCTCCACGCGGGCACCGGCGCCGCAGTCGGAGCTGCCCCTCGCGCGCTGCGCGCCGGCCACGCTGCTGCCAAATCCAGGGAAAAGGCTGCTTGGCAGCACCTGCCGGCCAGAATGTCTCGCTCACCGCGTGTTCTCTGTGACAGGTCCGAATCGAGGACGACATCGCGGTGACGGCCACAGGAATGGAGCTGCTGACGTGCGTCCCGCGCACCGTGGAGGAGATAGAGGCTTTCATGGCAGAAGGCCGGAGCGGTGCCAAGTCCTTTGACTGATGGTCCAGCCAAAAGCAGTAAACGTCAGGACAGTGCTTAGTGTCTCACGCTAATCCGTCATCGTTCCAATTTACCGTAGCAGCACATAAAGTGCATCTAATTCTTAATATCAAGAGAAGCAGGTAGGCTATTAGCTGGAGTGAATCATTCGGTACAAACGAAGGCAGAAGGCTTTGGCACTGCATATCCAGGTAACGCAGATGTTGCTACTTGCAATCAGCAGTTTATATTATGAAGTGCCAGCTAAATAACCCTGCTGCATTGTCAGCGGGGCTTGTACTCCTCCCAAATCTCAGCTCATCTTTCTTCCAGTAAAATCTAAATTTTGATGATAAGGACACTTTAAAAGACCAAATGGATTATCTGAATGCTGTCAACAATGGTAGCAATCCAAGAAATCCTTCAGCACAAATATCACAGAAAAGAAAGTAAAAATCTCAGCTATTCTCAGTGGCGATCATGACGCATACCTTCCTTGTGGATCTTATTTCAATGTTGATGGAGTAAGCAGAATCAGATTTATTAAAAATTATCCTTGGCATCATTTGTGCTTTCAACTTTGTGTTCACTATGCTCTTACGCTCCCTATTCCTGCTTCTTTATCTGACCTTTCTACCAATTTGTGCTCTGGAAACTTTGACCCTTCATTAGCCACTTTTTTTTACCCTGAGTAGCTGATCCTTCAAACACAGCCCACGGACTATTCAATTTGTGCATCTTCTTTTCCATTAAAAATGTAGATTACTTAGGTGTTCAGGAGAGTTGTAAAAATTGCAAGAAAAGAGTATCTTTGGTGCAGGGCTCAGGTTCCTTTAGTGGGATATGCTGTGCAGAATGAGAGAGTTTTTATGAACTGTCCAGTGTCAGCTGGTGCAGAATTAAATCATATAAATTTTATTTGGAAGCACCGCTCTATTAATAATGATCACCGAATGATTTTTCCATTCATGCAAGAATGAAATTACCAGGAGAAGCCTTTCTTTACTGTATTTAGTGTAAGTGTTCATCAGCCTGCAGGAGAACAAATACATTTATTGCATCATAAAATAGCCTTAGTTGCTGTAACTGCATCAAAATAATTTTGCCTACTTTATGAATGCATCACAACTGTGCTCAGTGTGAACAGAACAGAATATGGTTCGTTATTTATAACTACTAAGTGACCCACTGCCAAGCAGGAAACTTCGCATAGTGGGGACGTATAGAGTAACGTTGTGAAATGATACAGGGGACTTCATTCTGTGTGCTTGGGGTCACTTTACTAAAAAATGGATCTATTTATTTCTTTTTTCCCCCGTAGCAGTTCACGGCTGTGCTTTGCAAGAGGTAAGTGGGGGAGTCCTGAGTGAGGAGGAAGGGCTGCTGGGGCAGGCTGAGAGGCGAGCAGCTTTCACCCACGACGCTCCCTGTTGTGGCATCAGGTGGCCCTGGCCTCCTTGCAGATCCGTGGACGCAGAAACCCCTGGGTGCTGCTCCGGGCTCATCGCCCTCCTCAGTCTGGAGGTTTGTGCGGCGCAAGACGGCGCTGGCGGCCTCGGCCGCCTTCCCTTGCACCCTTGGCATCGCACACCGCCTTGGGCGCTCCGAATCCTGCGCTCGCTCTGCTTCAGTAGTGTTACTATTTTGAAGTAACACCTCGCAGATTTTCAAAAAAAAAAAAAAAAAAAAGGAGCTTGGAATTGTTTCAATTGAGCTGCAATCCAAGTCTAGTTAATGGGCCTTTCCCTGCCTATGATTAATCTTGGCAAATATTGGTCTCCACTGCTGCAGAACAGGTCGAGCAATGTGGCAGTGGCAGGAGGCAGAACTGGTTCTGCTTGGACATGTAGCAGCGAACCCAGCCTGCGAGGCGCTCTGCAGGGAGAACGGGCGGGCAAGGAGCCCCCGGCCTGCCAAGGGCCGTGTTGCAGCCCGGGACGCTGCGCTGTCTCCTGCTTCTCCTTCGTATCCAGGCCAGTGACTATAAAATTTATCCTTCCTTCTAGAGCTCTGTTCTATAATTATGATAATTTTTCATCCACTTAAAGCAAAAAATGAATTAGAATATTTTTTTCTAAATTAGCATCTGTAGGGCAGGCAGTAGGAAAGCATACCTTTAAAAAAGGCAAAATGATATTTAATGCACTTAAACATATAAGTGTACGTGTGGGGAGACAGGTTATGACAAACTCTTTTTGGCTTCAAAAGGTGTTCTTAGGCTGCTGGGTACCATGTTTTCCCAAATGCCTTCTCTTCCTCTGCAAACACTCAAATAGCGTTGCACCAAAATAACAGAAAGAGCATTATGCTGAGCAGGGCTGTGTGTTTAAAAAGGCCCAAATCGCTTCTGAACCGATACCTCTAACTTGCTGCAGCTCCCTGGGGCCGGATGCTCTCCGGATTTATCCGCGGGTTGTGCTGCTGCCGCTGGCAGGATAATTAACGAGGCAGAGCCTCCTAGCGCTCACGGACGTTACGGAGCGCACAGCAATACAGCAGCAGCACTGCTGCACTGGGAGGGAGCAGAGGGCACCCGGTGCAGTCCCTGTGCAGCTTGCCCTCCTTCTCATGCAGGTGCCTTGCTCCATCCTTGGCCTAGGAGCTGCTGCTTTGAGGTGCTCGGCAGGCAGCCAGGCTGCTGCTGCCCTCAGGAGGGAGAACGGCCCCTCCACGGGTCTGCACCGGGGCTGCAGAGCAAGAGGTTCCTGCCTGCCCTGCAACCTGCCTCCCGCCGAGGGCAGATTTAACATCAAGGGCAGGTTTAACATCGCTTGTAGTCTTGGAGCAGCAGGTAGGAACCTTCCATGCTGCAGGCAAGGCCCACGTGCCTCCCCAGCAGCAGGGCACTGTGCACACAGGTGACTTCTCATCAGGCAGAGACTTTTTTTGAGAGAGGGAATTGGAATCAATACTGTCAGGAGTAACAAGTGGAAAGTTTAGCCCTCCGGGAGCATCGGGAGTTCTCACATTTCCATCAGAAAGACTTCTGTTCCCAATCGAGGTATGAGAAATCATTGCTCTGGAGATAGTTCATTTCACTAAAATCAGAAAAAAAAGATAGAGTTGGAGCCTCGGTCCTGCTTATCAGGAGCTCATCCGACATTAACCTATCACGTGAGGGACAGGAGAGCAGAGTTGTAGAGCCCCAGGTCACTGGGGAAATGAGCAGGGATGAGCCGAGCTCCTGCCTTTAACACCAGTGTTGGTGCACGGAGAATAAATGAGAGGTTTTCAGGTCATCCTTTCTCTTTGGCTTTTTTATCTTCTCCTGTCATAACCTTTTCAGTGCAATATCCTTCCAGGAGAGGCAGATGCAGCTCTTAAATTTTTCTCTGTGTGTGTGTGCGCAAAGTTGGGGCTTCAGCCCAAGCTGTAGGAAGGGTCTGACTTTCCACTGAGTAACAACCTGAGGGGAGGACAGGAACGGACACCATCTCACTGATGTCCCAAAGCTGTAGCCTATCTGAGGAAGATACTCCTGTCTTTGAGGGAAAGGGAAAAGGGATGGGAAAAATAAGGCCAGCATTTTAGAGGCAAAATGTTTTTATTAGCTTCTCTTATTAGCTACTTAAGCTGCAGCTAGAACCCCAAAACACATCTTTGTAAGGCTACCAGAATCGAGAGCACTCCCTAAGAGTCTTCCACGTGTAACTACCTTTGAATTAAAAATATAAAGTCAACATGAATTTTTGGAGGCTTTATTTTCTAACAGCATCTTCACAGAGCTATTATCCAAGTTCTCTTCCTAAGTACAGATACAATGCAACAAGCATCCTACAAATTAATCTATGGAAAAAGGTAGTGTGGGAAGGAAATTAAGACAGTATAATAATCTACTAGGCAGACACACAGGTTAAATGAAACACAACCATATCATCAATGAAATATTTAAAAATGAAAATAAATTAAGGTTACATCAAACTTCCTGCTTTAATTGTTTAAATCCTCAGTGTACTACATACCACTGCATTATGGATCATGGCAAAGACTTACCACTAGCATTTAAAAATTGCTATAGAAAACATTCTATGAAAATAAGACAAGACTGAAGATACTCCTTCACACAACCCTATGATGGCTATAGAAATTCTGCTGAATTGGTTATTCAGAGCGGGACCATTTACTTTTAGAATCACTTTGGATTTCTGTAAGATTTTTGTTGCAAATGTGAACAGCCATGAGAACAGCAACGAGTGCCGTGAGCAGCGACCCATCCGTGTGATGGAGCAGGCGCTTCCACAGCTCCGCCAGGCTGCATGTCCCCCTCGACACCGCACCTTGGCAAGAGTGCAGGCTTGCAGAGCACGCCTTTTTGGTAGCATTTTGACATCTTCTGAAAACCAAGATCATGTTGTCTCAAGGCCCCAGAGTCACTATGTGAACCATGCTTGAAGGGCTTTCTCCATGTGCTATTTTACCCCTCACACGTGACCCCTCACACTGTTGTCTCAGTTGGGAGGCCACCTGCCTGCATACTCATCATCATAGTGTATTGCTATTTTTCTAGAAAACATCCGTAAGCATCCCAGCTCACTAGTACTACACTCTCCCCGTTAACTACAACTGGCAAAGAAGGACCTAAGTGGTGCTTTACAGGGCTTGCTCTACGGATTTATAGTAGTCCACCAAACAAGAAAGCAAATTCTACGGCCTTTGCAGTAATATGAAATGGAAAAAAAAAAAGGCTTAAATACATTAAAAGGTACTTAAAATAACATTTCATCCAATTATCACTGATACTATAGTGAACCATCCTGCTGGATTCCTCTCATTATGCAAAATAGAAGGTAAGTGAACATTTCTGTGGAAATGCTATTGCTCTAATATTAAGCTCCTTGTTGACTGTGAATTTATATTATCTGCATTTATTAGCCAAACCTTATAGAGAAGAAAAATATTTAACACTTTAAAACAAGTACTCTAAAATTATGCTTTAGTTGTATCAAATCTTCAGTGTTAAACCTAAAAAGAAAATCTCCACAAAATAACGCTTAGAAGAACAGTTTTTGCTCGGTCACTGCGTGGGCAGCACAGACAGGCTGCACCTCGGGAGTTCGTTTCATGACCGTGTCTACTGTGCGCTGCTTTCTGGATTTGTCGTGGTGGTTTCAGTGCCAACAGGTTGCACATTGTCTGCAAGATTGTGCGCGTGCTCCAGGAACAAGTCTTTCAGTACACTCAGCTCCTTGGTCAGGAGCTTAATTTTTGCCTCTAACCGTTCATTTTCTTCCTTGAGCTGGTTGACCCTCTGCAACGTGTCTTGTGCTTTCTGCTTGCTCTTTAACCGGCTCTTTTTCACTGCCATGTTGTTGCGCTCCCGGCGCTGGCGATACTCATCGCTGTTCCTATCCACAAAGGAATTCTTCTTTCCCTGCTTGCTCGGAGGCACAGCTTTGCCTCCGCCGCCGGGGCTCACGGGCACCAGCTGCGGAACCTGCTGCAAACCACTGGCGTGTGCTTGGCTGTGGATCACGCTTACCCCGTTCGCATCTGTCGCCGTGTTCTGCTGGGATGTCTTGCTCATTTGGGCAGGCTCTTCTTGAACACCACAGAATTTATTAGGACACGGAAAATCTTCGAGTTTCTAGAATGTGTTTCCAACAGGTCTTCACATGGATTAAGGACAAGTTGAACCTGGCAAAGAAAAGAAAATGTATTAGGAAAGGTGCTGCATTCAGCTGCAATCTGGTACATCACGGGCTTCAGCCCGAGGTACCGATGGTGCAGCTGGCAACATCTCTGCTAAGCTGAAAATAGAGAAGTTGCCAGTTTTTGGGAGATTTCAGAAGTCTCTCAAATGTATTTGGATTGGAAGGGACTGTTACTGGGTCATCTAGTCAAGCTGTTTGCATTGTTCACTGGACTTACTCAGTTATTCCGAAGCCATCCCTGATGGATGGGTGTCTAGCCTAGCCTTGAAAATGTCCAGTTTCACAACCTCTGTCTTGGCAATAGCTTTCACTGTCTAACTTTTCCTCCAGTTATATAATTTTCTTAATTTCTAGACTGAGTTTTGCCTTCTGCAGCTTAAACCTATTAACAGCCTGACTCTTGACCAACAGGAATACTTGCTCCTTGTCCTCTTCAGACTATCTGTCTGCATGTATGCACAGACAAATTCCTCTTTGGTCTCTCTGGAGAATGTGCTCGGACCATCCACCTTTCCCCCTACATCTTACAGCATCTTCCAGTGCTTTTACCAACTGTTTTCTAAGCTTGTTTCACCAGGTTTGGGGTTTCTGAAAATTATGTCCAGATTCATGACAGTGCTTTATGTACTGTGTGGAAAAAGTACTTCATCCAAACTAATGGACAAGAATTGCACAAAATTATTTTCCATGTTAAATTTCAAAGTGATTTAATATGTTCTTTCTGAGCTTATATATTTAATATAAAACTCAAAGCAGAAAAGGTTGATATCTATGCTGCTGCGTGTGTGTGACACTAAAGGAAGCCCCTCAACCACAAGCGAGTCAAAGGTTGGGGCAAGAAGGTTCCCCTGGGCTCCCAGGTGCCCAGCTCCCGCGAAAGGTCCGTACAGAGAGGACAAGGGAGCACTGATTGTTAGTGGCAGCTGTTAGTGGCAGTTAGTGGCAGCTGATACCAACGGCCCAGGACGATGCAGCTCGCAGGTTAAGTCAGGAACACCCCAAGAGATGGATCCTGCCCGTCCCGTGCCTAGGTACCGAGTCGGTATGGAGAGGTGTGGGTAAGGAGCTGCTGTGTGTCACTGGTTATTTCATACCGGGGGTTCCTCAGCTGTTTTCAGACCTTGTTTGTTTGTTTGTTTGTTGTTCTCGGCAGCCTGAGCTGCCACTTCATCTTCTGACAATGTTATCTACCATTAAAGAAGGTACAAATTTCTTTCATAAATGGAATGAGCCAGAACAAGATGCAGCTGCAGAGTGCAGCAGAATTCACAGAAAGGCCTAACAGGTTGTGCTGCATGTTTTTCAAATTCTGTCAATGAAAAGTGTTTTTACTTCAGTCAAGTGAGGAAGACCTGCGTTCCGCCCCCCTCACCTCCTAACAGGGCAACACCTCTTCATCAGGGGTGATACTGCAGGGCAGAAGGAGCTCACTGAGACATCTATTTAGCCAAGTCTGCACATGTGCTTGCTGAACCCTTGCATTCAAGGCTTCCTAATTTCAGCTCTTAAAGGAACGTTTGCAAACCGCGTGTGTATCTCGCCTTCTGAGGAAGCAATCCCGCTCGCAGCGCTGACAAGGCCTCCACGTGCACAAACACTGCATCTGCAGCACCGGCCACGGCAGCTGCACGCGGGATGGCTCGGATGTTCTGAAAGTCAAGATGCAGCTATTTGCTCTTCTGGCTTTGTCTGCTGCGTTTCTAAATATAGCGTTTCCCTAGCCCTCAAATAGCATATGGCTGTGTTAGATCATCTCTGGCTATGACAGCCAAACCATTTCACTAATTTCTGGGATGTTTTCAAAATTGGACAGGACATTTTCCTATCTCCTCTATTTCAACAAATTACTGTTGTTGTTACCTTCGCCTGGACAGCTCAGTCGAGTAACACACATGAAAAATACCCTTTTCACTATCTGCTGTTTTGTGCTTCATGAGATACTAGAGGAACGGGTGGTTTTGCACCTCACCCAAAGTTTCTTCACATCACCAGCTTCCACTTGTTACTTCTCTCTGTGCTATCAAAACTATTTAATATTGCTTTAAAATTTGTGTAAGATCTCTTATCAAATTCCCCTGTAATTCAAAGGAAAATGATTTGTCCCATTAAGTCAAATGTTAATGGAATACTTGAAATGCGTTCTTAGCTGGGCAGTATGTGGATCCTGGCAAAGACAATGAATCAGGGTGTCCCAGTAAGTGGGACTCTCCAGTAAGTGCTCTGGCCACAAAGGACAGGCTATTCTGGAATGGATTTTCCTTGTCTCTTCCTACTTGAGCAGATCCATTCTGTAGTAAATGAATGTTCCTTTGGGCAGGCAGGTTCCTATCTCTCCTTGAGACACCTGAGTGCCAGTCCTGCTCCAACCAGGATTTACACAAAGCAAATAGCACTAACTGGTGCATCCCTGACAATCCACGAGCAGCAACTGCACGTGCTGGAAAGCACTTATTTCTCCTAGTTGTTTGGAGGCCGGATCTCTATTGCCAAATTTCGGCTACACGACAGAAGGATACAGAAGGAGATCCCTGATAACAACAGGTACCCCGGGGCACGCGGGGAAGGCTGCCAGGAGGTTTCAAGGCTGCAGCTTGGAGGCGTACGGAGGGGACCGGAGGAAGCGGAGCTGAAGCAGCCGGGCACTGGGCACGGGCGCGAGGAGGCAGCTGGGTCTCGCGTTCGCTTCCCGCGTGTCCAGCCCCTCCACAACCAGGTTCGTTTGCTGCGGAGGGGCAAGAGCCGCGGCGCAGCAGGAGGCGGCTCCTTGGAGAGGCTGCTCCAGTTTCCCAGCATCTTGTTCCCATAAAGCAGCTCGCGCAGCGGCAGCCCCGGGCTGGTTCCACCCTGCACATGTTGGCGTTTGCAGTGGCCAGCTCAAACTGCCTTCTCCTCTCCCTGGGCCACCGACTGGCCACCCAGGGCACGGGCTGGCCACCCACTACATAAAGCTGGTTGCTCAGAGGGGTCCTCGCGGGAGAGGAAAGCGTGTGGGTCTGAAAACGCTCCTCAGGGACCACGGAGACACCCGCGCGAATCAAAAGCTTTATTAGCTTTGCTTTTCCAATAGGAAAAAAAAAAAAAATCCAAGTTTTTGTGGTTTTTTTGGGGGGAAAAAAGATATGTTAATTTAACCAGGATTTTACTTAGCAGCAGGAAAAATATAAAGTGCTTCTGTTTGCTTCTCGTTCTGAGATGTGACTGTTGACCCTGACTGCTGGGCCAGGCGGCTACTTCTTCTCAAGAGGAGGCCCCAATCTGCTACCTGGTGTCGTGGCGGGCGTTGCTTCCCTGGATTTCTCTCAGAAACCTCCCTTTTTCAACGTTTGTGACAAAAGTACCCCAGCAGCCCCAGGCCGCGCTGGAAGGCGCCGGAACGCGCGTTTCCAGCTGCGCCGGTGACGCAAGAGCCGCGAGCCGCCTCGGCCGCCACGGGGCGAGCGCGGAGGTGCCGCGGCGGCCCGCGCTGACGACGCTCCGCGCGCGGGGCTGTTTTGAAGGATGAGCTCATGCCATTCCCGCGCTCCCGGCGGAGCGACGCGGCGCTCGGGGCGCGCGGCCGCCGCCGCCTCAGGGCATCGCGGCCAGGGCCGCGCGCGTCCCCACGTGCCAAACCCCCCGCGGCGGCTCCAAACTGTGAAGCTCCGGCCAGCCG